ATTCATTGCTTGGTATTTGTTTGAATTCTTACTTGCCATTCCGTCATTTCAGCCATATTATCTAGTATTGGAGTTACTGTTTTTTATGCATGGGCGAACTATCAGGATAATAAAGTCATCAAAGAAGACGGGGATACCACCTACGAGGTGAGGATTCTCTCGCGTCTTTTGACCGCCTGAAGGCGCATTTCACGACTATTTACTTACCGTTTTCGTGTCTGCGTGTAAGTATGCTATAGTCTTATCTGCTACTGTTGCTAGGGCGTGTCAAGGGGTGGGTTTGGCGCAGCGCCAGCCTATTCTCTAAACCGGGAGACAAATTGGAGGATGTCGGGCAGGCGCTGAGCTAAACCCCCCCCCTTCCCGACATGCCCCAGCTTCCGCATCGAGCAGACTGAATAGCTTCCCAGCTGAAGGGGATGTATTACTTTTGCAACTCAAAATTGTAAGGCAAGGTCGAAAGGGGCTTATGATATGCGTTGCTTCCCCCCCCCCCCCACGTACCTCCTACTCTCGATTGGCAAGAGAGGCTTCCGGTAGAATAGATGGCAGATCAGTGACCACTGAAGTGGAAATCACTGAATTTGATACGATATAAGCAAGCGATATTCATGCAAGCACCCTTTCTTCGCATTTTTTTTGCCGAAATATCCGAAATTGAATATGGAACTGACGACACCATTGCAAAGACTTCCTAGGTATTTCATTGCGTTTTTGTCTTTACAGGCAAGTCAGTCAAACGTTTCTGTTTCCATTTCAGAATGCGATGGTCCACACCCACTTCTATATATCAAGGGGGGGGGCTTTTCGATCATGGATAACCGTTTCAAAACGATTTTTGCATGACATAGTAATCGTTGCATAGAACAGGAGGTTCTTTTTGCTGACCAGCGCAAGCAGTGCCAACACGAGTAAACAAATGGTTGATAGTTGGATCCCTCCTAGCGACAAAGTTTTGCATTTCTCAACTTCTCCCTGCGGTAGATGCTGTGGCAGGTATGTTTGATGATCCCTTTGGGAATTTTCGGCGTTACTGGAACCGCTCAACGTGTATGAAATTCGATGTACGAACTCTTTCTCTATGAGCAAAGCCGCTTTGAAAGAATACTCCATGACACTGAGTACCCCTCCTCAACCCTGATACATAAGTTGTTGTGGAACGTGCCTCCGAAATCAATTCTTTTGATAGCTATTTGTTGGAATCTTTCCTTTTTTAGCAAATTCTTGGGTGGGCTTTCTACTGCCAAATTGTCACTACCGTAATTCACTGGTTAGCTTCGATGCTGGGCTGTTGTGTCACTTCTGTCTCCTTCAGTAAATCAAGAGCAAAGCTGGTGAAAATTGAGGTTTGTTGCTTCCAAGAACGCTTTTCTTATCAAGGTTCAGGACCGGAACTTTATAGAAGCAAGTTACCCTCCTATGGTGTTTTAAACAAAGGTGATATGTTAGTAGAGGTTGGTCTCAATCAGTTCCAAAGGAATTGGGATTACCATGAATAGCACATAATCAATAGCTATGGAAAAGTAATTTAACGCTCGATAGGTACTTGCAGAATTCCTCTTAATCGGTTGTCGAGGGCGGCGACGAGAGGCAGTTGCTGTCAGGAAGCCGATCTTCATCGCAACCTTTCAAAAGGTCTTTCTCCGTGAGTTCCAGTTTCCCGCTCTCAAAATTTTACAATTTCTACTGATTGCTTTTCTCCTCATGACTATCGACGTTTTAGGCAATATACCGTGTTGTCTTGATTCCCAATCTCTAACGTCAGTGGGAACGTGACTACATGAGAAATGCAAGGGAACGGCAACAAAGAAGTGAAGAAGTGAGATTTTTTGAAGTTATATGTCCTTCATCGTCATACTAATGTGTTCGCAGAGTTCCTTCAAACGTACTGCATCTATGCCGAATTTCTCGAAGAAACAGCGAAAAGCTGCTCAGAGGAAGTTAGCAGACAGGTCCAGTCATGAGGTGTTCTCATCAACTAGCAACATTACCGAAACTACGCAGACAGGCAAGTATCTCATTTGGCTTGATTTCACTTCTCACAAAAATGTCACCAGAAAAGGAAGAATCGAAGGGTTCCGTATCTGCCTTTCTGCGAAGGAACTGCGTTGCGACCAACCAGTGTCATTTTCAGGGTCGATTAACACTTTGGAGTGGAATCAGTCTAGAAGACCTCCCTCGGCTGCAGTACCTCCTGCACGATCCGCTCAGTCGTCTGCACTTCCCGCTGTTCCAAAGCTGAAGTCAGCCTTGAAGACACCGCAGCAGTCCAGGAAGAGCGTGAACATTGACGATAGCGATGTGACTTACGAATGCCTACCTTGCGACGCGTCTGCAGGAGTTTCAAGTCTGTCTGGTGGAAGGTGAGCAACTTCAGATTCAGTCAATAGCATGGGTACAGTTGCGGTGTACTGCGCTGGATATTGAATGGTTGAAGAGTCAGCAGATTAGCTTTAGCGTGCCCAGCAATGTCCGGTAAAGATGATTTCTGGAGCAAGCTTTTCAAGTAGGATCGTTGCTGTTGCAGCTCAGGGGGGAGGGTTTACCTGTATAGATCACTTGTAAGTCCTTCACTTAGTTCACAGGCATGCACCAGTAATGCTTTCATTGGTCCCCGCAACGCGCTATTTACTATGAATAAACGATAAGAATTAATTTTTCGCTGTTGATTGATCCTTCCTGAGATGCTGCACGCCTTCTACTTAAATCGTTCAGGCTTTTGAGTGCGTTATAGCTTACACTTTGTTCTTTCGGACACTTCTGATGCCAGCTTAGACACAACACTAGAGGCTGGAAGGCCTGGTTGGCTGGAGGTGGGCGCCCTTCGCAGCTGGATCCTGCCTGTGTGTGGTGAGCGGGCCACTTGCTACTATAGAGCCTCCTCCCCATGTACTGAATAGAGGGTCTAATACCACGATGAAGGGAGCACTCTGATTTTATTGAGAGCAGATTGAAGAATACATTCTTCCAGGCCAGCATCAACTCTCCGAACTTACGATCCTGTTTATGAACAGATAGGTCAGGAAAACTATCTGGAGCCGAACAGCGTACGACTTCGTTCTAACTTGGCTTTGAACATAGATCAAGACAAGAAAGGTATATCTTGCCCATATTAGTGAGCAATATTTGATTTCTCATCCTGTCACGTCACCTGAGATGACTGAGTTGAATTACTGTGAATTTCAGCACTGCTGCCTACGCAGCCACTTCCTGGCTCCTCGCAATCTATTCCGACAGCCAACCAAAAAACTACCGTAATTGACGACGTGGTGAAACCTTCATCTCTAGTGGACGTGCGCAGAGAAGGGGTTACTCAAACTGATCCGAAAACTTCAGCAGCTCGTATGGTCGAGGAGAAAGAAACTACGGAGCTGTTTCGGCGTGCTCCTGCAAGGATTGAGGTGATCCAGATTGTTCTTCAACGTTCTTTTCTTTTGGATTGATGAAATTTCACGAACGTTTTTTTCTTTTTTCATTGCTGAACATGTTCGTAGTGTGTAGCTGCCAGAAAGCACCCCCGAAGGCAGTGGGCACGATAATTTGGTACTCGGTCTGAAATGCTAGCAGGGTGCTAAATAGTGGGGAAAATGGCGAAAAAACGAAGTGGAATGGTAAAAAACCTGCGAAGAAAAGCCATCGTTCTTAACGGTTGAAAAAGCAGTTTCGGACGAGTTTCCCGTAGGCATGTTGCCAATAACCACTATGATAGGTACGACTTCACGAATGTAATACTCATGTATGCATGCAGCACCGCGGCCGCTTCACATCAACTCCTTTGCTCATATTTTACTTCGCAAATGAAGCAACACGAGCATCGGGATGCGGTTCCATTTTGGGCTTTCGGGTCGGTATGTTGCAGCTCTGTAGGGCCTAATAGGTATAGCTCCCTTCGACAGGCGTTACGCAGTGCCTGCCCTGAAATTCTGTCCTGTCAAGCGTATTACTCCTGCTCGTCTTAGAGGTTTATCGTGCCAACTGCCTTTAATATATATGATTACCCCCTTCACACATATGACAACTCCCTCTTGAAGATCACCCTTATGAGGCATAAGGGGAGGAAGGTTCTCTGTAAAGAAGAAATTGATAGATAAAAGGAAGCTTCAGCGTTGATAAACTCCTCTATGGGATCCGTTGTGCATTCTCCTTCCCTCCAGTATCACACCAACATTTTGGAATGCAACGTTGTCTGTACAAATACTTGTTATATCGCGTAGAAGCCACTGTTTCTATCCCCCCCAGTCGATTTGGGACCCACCAACCCCCGGAAGGATAGCAAAAATGGTAGGTCAGCGTGAGGGACATTCTGAGCTTTTGGCAATGACTGTGGGCGTGATGTCATTTGCTAATATCGCCTCTGATCAATTTGCCATCGGCATGTCATACATGTTACTATCTGTTATGGAAACGGAATCATCTGTGCTGTGGAGTGTATTCCTTTCCCCATTATTTGTCTTTGTTTCTAATGAAGAGATTCCACTGCTGACCCCGTGCATAAATGGTGTAATTTTTCCAGCTGGCCACTCCAACGGCAAAGCCGAAAACTCCCAGCCGAGTCGACAAGCCACCACTATCTATCCGGGACTTCGGAGTTTCTCTGACACCCAAAACGGGCTTCTGCGACATCGAGACCACGTTCGACAGTGCTGGTCCATCAAGTGTGAGCTCATCGAGTCACATCAAGTACACTGAACTCGAAAAAGGACCGGATGGTCGCAGACCTGTCCCCTCAACTCCATTGAAGTACATATCAGTGGAGAGAAGCAGTGTCGACAGACTTCGGGAGCTTGCAGCAAGACCAAGTACCTCAATAGGTGAGTTTCGATATTTAGTTCCGCAGAAAATTTTACCATAACCGTTATTTTACAAATTTGTTCCGCGCAGCAGATCCCAAATCTACGGTAAATAGGATGTCATGGATGTGTACTGTCCTCATCATTACGGACTGTCGGGGCGTGTCAGCCAGTAGGAGTGCGCACACTGTTGAAGCCGTTCTCAGTTTTTGTTGAAACGCGTATGCGACAAAAAGTGGTAGAAAACGAGTAATACGAAGGATATAATACAGTAATGTCACTTGCCCGCTTCAACAACTGGTGCAGAACGACTTCGGTACCGCGCCAAACGCAGCCGCACTGACACGCCCCGACAGTCCGTAATGATGAGGATTGTAATTACGGTTGATGAGCAGCTTTAGATGAACGCATCTGCCGCATCCATCCCGTGAAGACCATCCGACGACGTCAAATAGCAACGACTCATTCGACGTACTGCGGCTGGCGAAAGCTGGAATAGCCATCAACACTTTTGGCGACCGCGTAAAACAACGGTTAGTCCTCTTTGCTGACAACTTCAGCAATGCTCTTGCTTTTCAGCCACCAACGATCGTTTACATTAATCCAGGCTAATTCGGCTTGGTGGGGGCACCGAATGGTACCCTGCTAAGTTTGTACAGGCCACCTTGTGAAAACCAGTGAATCTGTGACCAGTTTGGCTCACTTGAACAACTCTACGGCTTCACAGGAGTTGACTGATCTGGCAAAAATGAGGCCTGTTAGCTAGCATCAACTAACAAAAGGAATCTAGCGAAAAAGGAAAATGCTCCTCCAAGCCGAACAGCACCTTAGGTCATAACGAATAGTGTTCACAGCCGAGGACAACTCTGTTAAACGTCACCGTAAAAGAGTTTCCCATAGGGAAAGTGCTCCTGAACGTGTACTCCTTAGAGTTGTTACAAATAAAGGATTTCGAGCACAGGAGTTCTTCAATGCTGCGCTGTAACTACTTCGGTTTAGCTCGATAACGAATCTCACGTTTCTGCCACGATCACACACGGGAGCCTCGGAAGTATTCGAGCGACCAGATTCCATGACTGGAAACCTCGTCCGTGGTCTCGTCGGCACCGCGGAAACCTCCGCAGTCGCTGCAGCAAATGGTTCATCGAAAATTGCTCAAAGTCATGCCGGACGAGGTTCGTTACTATCGGTTTACTCACTATACTGGAACAGTAATGTGAATAACGGTTATTTGCAGGTGGATCGATCTGTGGGCTCCTCAACTGTAGTTGAAAATGAGATCATGTCAGATGGTACAGATTCCTATGCTAGGGACGCAGAGATTCGCCTGAATTTATTCATGAATGACGTCGTTAAAGACGAAACTACGGTTTAAGAAAATGATAAAAATGTGCCTTAGAGTGTCATACAGAGGAATGAGAAGAAACATTTCTACGAATCAGCTTGAACGTCCGGGTTCGGCAGCAGTATACCAGCAAATGAGAGGGCATGGATTGGAGCACGGACAGGACAGCTTTTCCCATCGTTGTAAGGGACCCAGCATGGCAGATAGGCGGCAATGTCGCCCTGGCTGCACTACAACCCACACCCTAGGCGCCTATTCGTTTACAAAAATGATGGCTCTATATTGAAGGCTCGGTATGTTGAAGCGCACCAACAGACAACTTAGCGGATTCTACCCAGTAGGAGACTTCACTAGGTAGGATAGTGTAGAGTTTGATCAGATTATTCATGAATAAACAAAAAAGAATATTTATGCAAATGAGGACGATAGGAATTGTCATCTGAGAGGATATTCAATGAAAAAAGAAAGGAAAAACAGTGACCTAGTGAGATGAAAAGTTTCTATTGTGAGTGCACCCATGATAGGGACTCGCTGGGGACTTTGAAAAGCATGTGCTATTTTCGTATTCGAGAACGATGCCTTTTTCGTTCGCGATCGTTTATAGAAGTAGGAAAAGTGTTAAAAATAGATGGATCTTTCACTTTCATAGCCTCCAAAAGATATTACTGGAGGCTCCGCAGCCGCGAGATGTTTGTGCTGGGATTCTTTTTGGGAAAATTCAGAGGCACTAAAAGAAACGGTTTTTCTGCTACCACTAGGGGGGAATTTATTCAGAGACCGGAGAATCCTCATGAATGGAGCCCTCCGCTGAATAAAAGTGGGTAGCGGGTCAGGCTTGAGTGGCGTCATCTATACTCGAAATCCCTGAGATCGGGTAGGCGTGGCCGCATCCTTCAACTTAACCTGAAGGTGTCTATGCTTCTGGTGAGATATTTTCATCTTGACACAATTGTTGTCGTGTCTGTCCAACACAGAACAAGATGACAGTTGTCCCAGACTGGAATATTCCACGAGTAACCAGTTCCGTGCCATGTTCAAATGCCACGCCTACTCTGACTCAGGGATATGATGGAGTGTACGCGTGGGCCATGCATCAAGTTTTCATGTAGAGATGGTGGAAAGGTGTACGTTCTGTGTAAGGCAGCGTTCAGACCCCGCGACACGACAGCGACAGCGCTTCGGTAGTTTATTTATTTATTTATTTATTTTTTTATTTATAATGCACGCATGGTGTCGCGCTACATGTCAATGAAAACAGATAGGTTCAAAATGCAAAGCATGTAAATTGTCATGTCAGAGGAAAAATGAACAAAACGAAAAAAAAGATACAAATATAGCAACACAAATTCACGATGTGTAAGAACCACTCCAGACTAGAACCATCTAAATCCTGCAATCCTAACAAATTCATCAGATCGACCTTTTTTAGCTTACTTCTAAACGCATAGGTGCTAGAGCGCTTTCTGTTAGGCTATGAGGGCAGGGACTGGAGCCATCTCGCTCCTCGGAAAAATAATGAGTTGAAAACCCTGGTTCGATGCCTTCTGTGTAGTTTAGGACATTGCAAGGACAGCGAAGAGATGCGGCCATTGGTCGGCCTCAGTATCCAGTACTTACTGGGTTTCAACCTTAGCTCTCCTTTCAATACCTTAAAACAGAACACAATATCATTAAACACTCTTCTATACTTCAGTGACTTTAGATTGAAAAGTTGCAGGCGTTCCCTGTAACTGGGTAAGCTGCCTGGGTATGCAGGGTTGGGATAACACCGGTACATCAAAACTCTGGTAAAAGTTTGCTGGACCTTTTCGATTTTTGCCTGAAGTTTCCTGGTGTGAGGACTCCATATTTGCGAACCATATTCAAGTATGGGGACAACATAAGCTTTGTATAACTTCAAGAAAATCGAAGAATCACTTTGTCGGACATTCCTGAAGATGGCAAAAAGGGTCATGAAAGCCTTCCGAACAATGATATCAATGTGATGCGTAAACTCCAAACTGGAACTCACATGAAAACCAAGGTCACGTACTTCATTTGAAAGGGTAATTGACATGCCGTTTACGGTGTACGGAACAATCCTGGCTTCTCCCATATGAAGAACAAATGTTTTTGAGAAATTCACAGGTATTCCCCACGCAGCAGCCCACTCCATAATGTTACATATAGACTGGGTCAACGCACGGTGCACGGAGTTATGACTATCGTTATCATAAACGCCATATATTTTTATGTCATCTGCATATATTTTGATCTTGACCAGAGGGTGAGTATCAAGATAACCGGGTAGGTCGTAGGTGTACGCTAAGAAAAGCAACGGTGACAGCACACCTCCCTGCGGAACTCCACTAGTACAGGAAAAAGTCCGCGAGAAACTATCACCCACCTTAACAATCATATGCCTGTCTTCCAAATAAGAACGAATCCAGCTGAGTATGGGTCCTTCGATTCCCAAAAGCCACAACTTATGAACGAGCTTTTCGTGGTTCACTTTATCAAAAGCTTTGGACAAATCAAAATAGATTATATCCACACCTTTGCCCTCATTAATAGCAAGAGTCCAATCAAAGACACAGTCCGCCATTAGAGTGCTTGTGGAAGCCCCGCTGATGAATCCATGTTGTTCTGGTGGAATCAGATTCTGCTTCGTTAGATGTGCTACAATTCTATCCCGCAAAATCTTCTCCAGGGCCTTAGCTGGTGTAGCAGTGATACTTATGGGACGAAAAGAAGAAACGAGCTTAGGCTCGGAAATCTTAGGAATAGCAGTAATGATAGACTCTTTCCAACTCAGCGGAATCTCACTGAACATTAGAGATGCGTTTAGTATCATACAGAGCGGTTTGCATAAAGAGAGTGCACAGTTTTTGTATACTACTTGTGGGATCCCGTCGAAAGGGAGCGAAGTTGAGCTCTTGAATGATTTCAAGGTCTTATATACGTCCTCAATGGATACCACACAGTCACTAAGGATACTCAAGCTCTCACGGCCTCTGAGACATGCATTCGGAACAGCATTGTCATCTGTGGTGAAAACAGAAGAAAAAAATTCTGCTAGAGCCTCAGCTTTTTGGACATCAGTCAAAAAGCGATTTCCGGACTCGTCTTGAAGTACAGGTATACATGAGTGTGGCTTTATCTTATATTTGATCAACGCGAAAATACCTCTTTTATGGGAACTAGCACAAACTCGCCTTTCCTTATTGGAAAGAAATTTCCTTAGATGATAATCAAGCTCACGGCATACTTTCTTGTACTGGAGAGCGGACAGTGTGTCATGACGTGACTCATCAAAGAGCCGTGCTTTCTGAGCTAGTAAATTTTTTATATGTCTCGGGTATTTGGTTTGTGGCCCATTTTTGAAATCGAAGGGTACATACTTAGCTAATCCTGCATAGACAATGCGGCAAAAACTTTTGTACATGTCATCACAGGAAGTGTAGCCATAAAAAACGTTCCACCAGTTAACTGAAGAAAAGTACTTTGATAGCGCAGAGTAATCTGCCTTGGCGAAGTTTGGTAACGGGAGTCTAGTTGGCGTGGATGAATAGATGGTAATATCAAATGATACTACACTGTGATCAGACGCTGCAAGAGGCGGTAACACCGAAACGTTCGTGATGATGGGAGCATTGGATAATATTATGTCTAGGAAAGATTCTCCCCTTGTGGGCATATGAACATGTTGAACAAAACCACAACAACGGAAGAGCTCCAAAAACTTAGAGGAAACCGAGTTTCTGGCTGTACTTGCTTTCCAGTCAACATCGACGTTGAAAGCATGCGCGTCGATCGCTTCGAACGCGCCATCGAAGCGCTGTCGTCGCTATGTCTGAACGCTGCCTGATGTCTGCTCACGCAAAGGGATGTGCTTTCACAGCGTTTATTACAGATATCACTCTTATTGGAGTATACTGGATACTGCCAATTTTGTGTTTCTCCTTGCTATCTTTCTCTCCGCTTACGAACATCGCTATCGATGAACTTCTTGCAAGTAGCGTGTATCTAGCTGCTTTAGAGCTATCCTACTACAATACATATTTGACATGGCTTGGAAAGTTGAACACTAATGGAACAATTTGGAATAAGTTTATCGCAAAGTAAAGAGTCTGTCAAATTCAGCTGACGAAATCACAGAAAACGGCACACATGTGTCATGGAATCCTTGTAGCATTCACTTTCAGCTCCCACCAACCATGACAAAACTCACGTTCGTCGACTCATGACAAATTTACTCATGGTTGATGCTCGAACGCACTGAAAGGACGAGGCAATCGGAATTATGCTGTAGTTTTCAAAATGTATCTGGCACTTCGGCTTTGCCCTTTTGTCGAGTCGTAGTGGTAGAAAAGGTAGAAAAACAAATGACGCACGCTCACCGGAACGCTTCAGCAGCCTATAGGACGTTGACTCTGGTGAATCACAAATGGTATCGTTCGAAAGCACGACACCAGCTACTTGCATCTGTCCGTCAATGCTCGACATTCTGAGAAGCATGAGCCGTCTCTTTATACTTTCATCCCTCTATTTCGCGCAGACCACTAGTCGCTGTGCTCGTAGAAGTTTCGAAGATTGAGCCATGGGGAAATGCTCCTCCCTTCAACATGCACGCAATGAGAACAACCTACTTATCCAATTCACTATTCACTGCGAATGCTGAGGTGTGTCAGGGGGTTGGTTTGGCGTGGCGCCATACCGTTCTGCAACAGTTGTTGTCGCTTGCTACGCTTCAACGATTGGTGGAGTACTGGTTCCGCGTTCAACCCTGAAAGGCCTTAGCATCCGTGGCAAGCAGGACTGTATATACAGTCCTCATCATTGCGGACCGGTGGGGCGTGTCAGCCAGAAGGAGTGCGCACACTGTTGAAGCCGTTCTCAGCCTTTTTGTTGCAACGCGTATGCGACAAAAAGTGGTAGAAAACGAGTAATACGAAGGATATTATACAGTAATGCACTTGTTCGCTTCAAAAACTGGTGCAGAACGACTTTGCCAAACCGCACCAAATGCAGCCGCACTGCCACGCCCCACCGGTCCGCAATGATGAGGACTGTACCTGCCAGGCCCTGATTAATTGCATCGCCTTAAAAGTGCAAGAAATTATAAAGTAGGGTCAGACTTTTGTGGGTAAAAAAACATTTAGCAGAAAGGCCACTTGCATGCGCAGGCGTGAGAAGCGCGTCCTCCACGCTGAGAGGCGCTCTTGAAGAGCTCAACGAAATCCCATCCACCAGAGGGCTGCCTCTCAGACGAAGGCACACCTCGAGGTGACAGTAGCAGCCATCGGGATGCTGAAGCGAGGTGCTCTCATGATCCCAATGGAAAACAGTGCGAGCGAGCTCTGGCTTATGTCTGACGACCTCTGCCCTATGTGACCTCCGCCCGTATGATCGCTCATCACTGGACATTCGCTAGCTGTTAACGTTCAGCTTGAGTTCTCTTCATTCTCCTATTATTTCGCCTCTCCAGTACTATTGTAAACGATCATCGTGTAGTTATCGTGTACTACGACTTTGATGCAAAGGATCACATGAGCACACCATCATGGGCAACATCACATTTAAGAGCCGCTATGAATCTATAAATGTAAATAAGTAAAAAACGTGCCGCACCCCAGAGCTGAAACCCCGATCAGTGGCAGAAATATTTCCCTTCAAACCAGTTTCTGGCTAAAAGAACAGCTAAATACATACAAGGAGTATATCATCGACTAACTTGCAGTCATTTTTCCGATCGCACACATATCGCGGGGATACGCATTTCGAGCCGTCCATGCACGAGAACCACCTCTTGGGACACTTCGCAGTCCGTGGCACGTATCGATGAGAACCATCCTTGAAAATAATCTGAATTGTTTTGCCGAGGATGAGGTTTTGATACTCACCAAATTTCCTTGCCTCGGTCGCTTGGAGCACACCGCATCATCTTCATCCGAGTGATCGGAGCAGTCAATACGGCCATCACACATCCACCTAAGAGCAATTATTTTCACATTGGAAAAGCGATGAATTTAAAAACACCGACATTTTTCACTCGGATTGCGCACCGTGTGTGTCTAGTGTCCGATGAACAGGCTAGGGAGTTAATTTGAAAGATGCATGTCAGATTTTAGCGGGTATTTTGATTGAAAATAAGGTCTTTTCGGTTGCTTTACACTCCCACTCTCGCATGATTCGCGTATACTTTAGGAAAATAAACTGATGTTCAAGTGGGAGCAGTGCGGTGATGTACGGCTCAGCTCGGAGACCGGAAGGAGGTTTCACTGAGATCAGGGCACATAATTGGTTGGGGTTTTCTGGTGGAGCCCGTGCGACCTATCCCCGTGAAAGGTGGCTTGATCCGACCCCGCACCCCACTTCCCACCTCATCGAGCTGAGGAGTGGGAGGTGGTTTATATACTACATATGAAACAGATAAACCACGAAAAGTCAGCAACTTCTTCCGGAAGGCTCACAAGACAAATACGACCTCCTCCTCCTCCTCCCCCACCCCCTCCAAACAACCAGCATATGCTACACCTCCCCTTCAAAGCGTCCCTGAAGCAAGAAAAATCAACTATCAAAAAAATTGTCTTCTCAGACCAAACACGAACCCTCCCCCCCCCCCCACGATTAAATACCAGTCCCCAGCGATGATGCGCCTTGAACGGGATTCATCCCACAGATGGTGCTGGTAACAAACGTCTACCATCGCTATTCCACCGCCGCTATTCCATGTCTGCCCTTGACCTACTTGATGAATATCATATCCAGCTATGCTCTGAATGTTGAAATCCGGATTAATGTGAGCATGGTGCAATAGGCATTGAAAGTGAATGCGTTAAACTGGATTGAAGGAAAAAAGGAATGAAAAGAGGAAATTCCTTATAATTATCTCACGCCAAAATCACAAACATGCCAAGGCTATGGTCCTTCAACAAATAGTCAACAGTTTTGGTTTCAAAGTCGAATATAATCAAATATTCGACTTTGAAACCAAAAGGATAACTAGTAGAAAAAGTATAAGAACGTAATGATCCTTGTTCTTCTCTGACTGACACACCCCCAAAATCTCACAACCACTGTTTTTGCTCACACGTTGCTTATGAGGGCCGTTCAGTGCCCTGATCATGAACATGGCATTCATTGTTGGCACTGACGACATTTTTCGTCTCTAGGCACCAATCGTATGCTGAATTCTCTTGTGGCGCTAGAATGGCGCTGGGGTGAGTTTCACGTTCACCATTTCCTTCGTCAGAAGTGACATGCGCCTGCATACCGGGCTTATTTTGCATTCTCATAACAAAATGAGTACACTTATTTTTCGCGCCTGCACCAAATGGAGTCATAGTGGTGCTGGGGCCACGATCCATCTAACTCGTTTCAAGCTTGCATATGTGGTCATGGAGAACTTGATCACGAAGCCTAGAATGAATGTCACAATGATGCCAAATCACTCCACTACACAAATTTACATAAATTTTAGTGAAGCGCTGGTGGTGGCAAATTGGCGCCTTTTGACTCCAGATGATGCCGGCTCTGAAAGCAAATGTCGTATTCATGACCAGAGCTTTGAATAAACCCCAATGTATCGCTGAGATTTTGGACTACAGTCGAACTGTGTCGGAAAGGAAGATGATAGAGTGAGAACCAATTCTTCCTCGTTGACATGCAGGCCAAGCCATGAATCTACCTGTTCCACAAATGAGAAATTCTTTCTGAGAACCATGCACGTAATCACCTTTTATGAATGCATAAAATACCATCCGCACAACGTACGTAATCAAGTGAAGGGCATCTAAACCAAAAATTGAGGCTGAAAATGAGAACGAGTAAGAGTTCAGAAGCATACCTGGCAATTACTTGTTGCTCATTTTCTGCCAGAATTCCTGTGATGATGTAGACAAGAAAGCAGGCTAGATGTACCAGAAATTGTGGTTTGGGATTAGTTGGCACTTTCATTTTGATTTCCTACAGCACGGAGTAACTTGATATCATTTGAGGTCTCAATAAACAGTGAACATGTGGTGAATATTGGAGACGACATCATCCCGCGGCCACATGGTTTATAGATTTCGATTAAGCAAGTGCTATAGCATGGAATCCAAGCAAAACAGTTCAATATTCAGGGAAGACAGGCCAGTTTCTGCACCGCATATAATGTAGTCCGCTGCGCAGGAAGGGGAGTGTCAGGCGGTACAGTTTTGGCGTGGTGCCAAAGCCGTTCTCCATCAGTTGTTGAAATGAGCAAGTGACAAGACTGTATCCTATCACGTTTTTCACCAACAGTTGCCGCACACCCGCACCAACAAATGGTAGAGAACGGGTCTAGCGCAGTGGCACACTCATAGCCTGCCACGCCCCTTCATCCGCGGTGATCTGGAATATACGGGGGGGGGGGGTGGCAACAAAGAGACACTTTACTCCCTCGACTTCCAAACTTCCAAGACGATAGAAGTTACACTTTATTGAATTCTGATTAGGCATTTTCACCAATAAGGTAACAGCACATAGTACACCATCACATTGCTTCTGGACGAACGCCATCGAGAGATTCTGCCACGCGACCGTGATTTGGTGCCTGAGTTCAGCGAGATCGTTGATTTCTCCGCCACTGTAGACCACCCTGTTGAGCTCCGCCCGAACCCGGTAATCGAGGGGTTTAGGTCAGGTGACACACTTGAATATTCCGTCTTCTTCAGGTACTCACGTCCTTCGATCCCGACTAGGCGTTTTTTCAACGCCCTTCGATTCTATGTGCTGACACCCGATATCCTGGTGCAGTACGAATTTCCCAAAATGTACAGGCGACGACATGAAGGCAGGATATTCTCCTCGAGTTGATCGATGTAACCGTCAGCGTTCACTTTCAGTCCGGGGTCCACGAAGAAAATATCGGTCTTCCCATTCCAGGAACTTCCGGTCCATACCATCAACCCGCGCCTTGGCGACTGCGGTGAAGATGATATCCTGGACCGTAGCGACGTTGTCGGAGCTGCTCGATGTTGGAGGTCTTCCAAAGTGTGCCGGTCCCCAGGTAGCTTTATTCTCGAGCGCGTCTCGAACCTGCCACATCCCGAAAATGGCCGAAATAGGCTGTTTTCGCATCGCTCCTCGAAACGGCTGAAATAGCCGATTTTTGCTGAATTCCGCCTGAGCGTGTTGTGCTCGGGCAGAAAACTCGTCCAAAGGGGGACCCCTTGCCTATTTTTTCCGCGTGTCTAATGACTCCATACATGAAGTTTTGCAGCTGTTTGGAGGTGACGTGAATTCCAAAGGCCTTCTCCAGTCAGGCTGCGATTGGAGATGACTTCATATTTTGGTGTACATGAAGGTGATGGGCGAGAGCCTGCTCCTGCTTATCGAGGAACATCTTGGGTATCTTCCGCCCTGGTATCCACGTCTTCTGTCTGGGCTGCGAAAACTTTGCTGATATGTGACTCGGTCAAGTGTCTTTTTTTTGCCCCACCCCCTCCTTTTAGTTAAAACCTCACACACTCACCCCGCATAACGCCCATTCTTACCCGATCCTTACGGCACTCGACAAGTGTGTTCAAGTGAGCATGCGATTCGTTTAGTAGCTCAACTTTCAAAGATTTTTCTGCTATGCGCGAAATTCGCGCATAAACGGGGAACTTAACTTGGGAACGTCTATTTTGAGGGCAATGGTGTCTTTCCGAGGGGTGATCGACATGGTGTTGCAACCTCTTGAGTTCACAGGGTACTTGGTGGGGCGAACTGTGCCCTCACCTGAAACATGCACAGACCTCGCTGAACAATTTAACAACCTCGTGATGCATAAAGCAAGTAAAATACTTACAATAGAGATGTCCTTATAGCGATTCGTTCACCTCTATTTCGCAAGGATCCGAGGTTCAGTGCAAGGTTATTCACGGCTAGCTCGGTATTCTACTCCTGTTTCGCCAGTGAAGCCTCACCGGTTACTTAATTGAACCATAATTTGTTCATCGAAGAGGTTTATGTAGAACGCCACAGCATTGCCCAGAACTCAGTGTCGCCGGCGCAGCGAATAAAGAGAGGTTATGTTGCTGAATTTGCGATCACCCCCACGAACGGATTAAACCAAATTCGTCAACTGGTTCTTTGCATAGACCTGGCCCGTTTGTAATTCTCAGTCGGCTCACTAGGCCAGTAATGACATTTCTATTTATGCTGCTCTCAGTATTCTCACACGGTAAATTTTAATCGATTTGCTGCCCACTACCAAACCATTTCGTATCCAAAACTCAGAAACATTTTTCGCTAAAATTTAGACTTTTAGAGTTATTCGAACCTGTGATCACGAATGTGACATCCATTTTTAAGGCATGCGCCATTTGGCGCCACAGCTATTTTCACCAAAATCTATATTGACTTCCATGCGATGCAATTGCGGGCCCTGATCACGAAAGGAGCATTTATTTTGACGTTTGCTAAGGCTGAATCAGAATGGAGGGGTGATCCTATCCAAAGCCCAGAATATGCAAAATAGACCACGAGGTAGGGCGCGGCTCAGCCTCTTTGCGGGTAGCTGCCCTCTGAATAGGAGTATGAGAGTCATTGTCACCTTTTAGGGCTTTGCTGGTGCAGTGTTCGATGGCAGTGTACGAGGAGGTACGCGACAAAACTGGGTGGTTCCCACTGGGGCATTGCCATCGAACGAATATTTATAGCTTTTGCTAGAGAAGCGACTGCACCAAACAACTGCTGCTGGCGAAGTCTAAGTGTGGAAAAAAAAGTTAGGTTTTTGAAGACTTAAGTGAATGAGTAGCGCAGAGCTGATTGGTAGCTGTGATGACGCTAGGACAGGGCACAACATCGTGGTGCGAAATACTGGGGGGGAGGGGGTCGTACTTGGCCGCTTCGGAGGGGAGGGGGGGGGCGGTGTATTTGGTCGTTCTTGGAAGAGGAGGGTGGAGAAAGTAGCAAATTTTCGGGAACTTTCGGAAAAAACTGGTAGGGAGCTGGGAACATGTAGAAAAGTGGTGGGTAGGTCTTGGCGGAGGGGGTTCTACCGAGTTCCTCCCTCAAGGGAGGGGGAGGGGGTCGTACTGACACCACATCACACACATCACGATGCTGTACCCTGCGCTAGGAAGCGAAAAATCGCCACATTCGCGACCACGCAGAGTCAGTTGGACGTGATGCACGCGATGCATCACGTGGTACGCCACGAGCTAATTCAGTGAAAAATGAAATCTAGTCTTTATTACTAGGACACGCCTCCATCACGAATACCGAAGTGCCCATGCCTATTGAAAGTCAATTTGATGAAACGCCTCAGTCAATAACGTTCGATGGAGCCGGAAAAATTGACGAGAATAGCGATATGTTCGTATCACCCACCCTCGATAACAACGTCTACCAGTATTTACAAACGAGTTGGGTACGTGTTTCAGGAGAATTGTGTCTCCAGACTGTATTACATATGTTATTACAGCCTCAGATATCAAATGGATATCCGTACCGGAATTCCTTACTATGACAACGTTCCAATTTTCAATCGTTACGGATATGACACATTGAGCGGAGTTGGCTATCCAATTAAAGCACTTCCTTACGACCCTCAACTTATTTTTCAGCAACGGATAAATCCATATCTCTTGAGGACCGCATTGCCCGTTGTGCCTACAGGTACTCACAGCTAATTCCCTTATCAACCTTCTTTAGGGTGGAATTTTACTATTAGTATGTCTGTAGGAACTGCAGCTTATTCTTATCTAAGTAAGGCAATAGGGGGTAATTTAGTAAGATCTGCCCTTTTAGGAAAAAAATCAGCCACAGCGATGTTTTCGCTCGGAGGCAGTTGACACGATAATTTGGTACTCGGTCTAAAATGCTAGCAGGGCGCTATATAGTGGGGAAAATGGCGAAAAACGAAGTGAAACGGTCAAAAACCTGCGAAGAAAAGCCTTCGTTTTTAGTGGCTCAAAAAGCAATTTTGTACGAGTTTCTCATAGGCATCGCGCCAATAACCCCTACGGTTGGTACGGCTGCACGTTTGTACTTATATGTTCAGGCAGCACCGCTGCCGCATCATACCAACCAACCTCTTCGCTTCATATTTTACTTCGCAAATGAGGCAATACGAGCAGGTACGGTCGTCCATAGTGGGCGGGCGAGCGTGGTGGGCGTCCGGGTCGGTATGTTGTAGCTTGTAGGGCCCCTATAAGGGTACCTTCCTCAAAAAAAGCGCTACTTAGCGCCTTAGGGTAGGCGAAGATCGTTCCTGCAAGTGTATTATCCCTCGTCCAGGGATTTTATCGTGGCAACTGCCTTCAAGACAGCCCACTTTGAAGACGTGCAGTACATTCATTCACTCGTTACATTTTTCACGAGTTATTCACAAATTTCAGATTCGGATATTCAGTTTTCCTATTTGATGAAGCATCCGCAAGCCGCAATGGCATATCAGGGAATGATCTAAAGAATTTAATAATGTTTTTGTCGATTAATAAACATATCACTTCATCAGAACTATAAATAACAGTGAATATGCACCAATAATTGAATGCAGAGATTACACATGATATTTAAATCTGTAGGCTCTGTTATAATCGAATTCTAAAGACATCCTATACGAGTTACGAAGATTACTAATAACATACTAAGTAGTGACCTGGCCGTAGCAAGCAGGTAGTATGTGCTTTGGGGATACTGAGCACGGTTTCAAGCTTACCACTTGGACTCATGATGTTTGTGCCACCCCGTAATATGTCGTTGTGGTAAGGCCATCGGACTTCTCCCCAACTTTTCCTGGCCTCTCGCCTTCGCATACTCGTACAATTCCAGACTTTGTAGGTCTTATTTTCCACGGTCTCAAAATGTGCTATTCCTGTTGAAAGGTAGCGAACAGGAATAAGTGCAGCCTCCTTTCGCGTATCTTACACGAACAGCTCTATTTCGTGAATCTCTGGGCTCGTCAGCGTTGTGTGGTCTACTTAAAATGTCACTACAAGACA